TATTTGCTATTCATACAAATTATGCTAATGATTACCATGGCACATTTTAAGAAATTTAAGTTGAAGTTCCTTAAAATTAGGCAATAAATTTAGAATATGAATTTATATACTGGAATATCTAATTTACAAAAGAAATATTATATAATATATTATTTTTAGGAGATTGTCTTAAATTCATAACTCTACCATGTATTTTATGTATTATTGACCTATTTTTATTTTTTTGATATCAGCCATTTTGTGAAGATTCACGAATTATGAAATAGACATTTTTATCTTTATCAATTTATAAGATAAAAGGTTACACAAATTATTAAACATTTTCTCACTGGCCCATTTTTGGCTCATTTGTGGCAAACTAGATCTAGCCGTACTCCCTGGACTAGTTTCATAGATATCATTAATATAGGCACTGAGATAGCTGGAGAGTCACTCTAACTAAAAATATATAAAACTGGCCAAGATATTCACACAAGACTAGGGCAACTTAATCCAATTTTTTTATTAAGAAAAATTTTTTGTTCATTTTACACACCAATCAAAAATTCCCCCTCTTCCCTCCTCCTGCCCTTCCAGCCTCCCCCTCCCAACGCACCCTCTACTCTCTCCTACAAGAAGGTAAGGCTTCTCATGAGGAGTTACATTTAGTAGAGATAGGTCCAAGGCCCTCTGTCTGCCTCAAGGCTGTGTGAGGTATCCTATCATAGTTAGTGGGATCAAAAAAGCCTGCTCATGCACCAAGGATGGATTCTGATCCTTCTTCCAGGGGGCTCCTTATGCAGATCAAGCTACACATGGTCTTGCTATGTAGAGGGCCTAGTCCAGTCCCATGCAAGCTCCACCGCTAAATTTCATGAGTTCCCACTAGTTTGCTTTGGTTGTCTCTATAGGATTCTCCATCATGATCTTGATGCCCCTTGCTCATAGAATCCCTCCTCTCTCTCTTCAGCTGGACTCCTGGAGCTCAGCCTGGTGTTTGGCTGTGGATCTCTGCATCTGCTTCTATCAGTTTCTGGAGAAAGGCTCTATGATGACAGGGTATTCACTGATCTGCTTACAGGGGTAAGCCTGTTCAAGTACTCTCTCCACTATTGCTAGTAGTATAAGCTGGGGTTATCTTTGTGGATACTTGGGAACTTCCTTAGCACCTGGTTTCTCCCTATCCCCATGATGTCTCCTCTATTATGATATCTCTTTCATTGCTCTCCCACTCCATCCCTGTTCCAGCTCAACCATCCCAATCCCTTATGTTCTTATCCCCCATCCCCTACGCTCCATAGCCCCCTCTCATTCCCAGTTTACTCATGGAGATCTCATTTATTTCCCTTTCCCAGGGCAACCCAGGCATCCATCTTCGGGTCCTCCTTGTTAGCTAGCTTCTCTGCAGCTCTTAGTTATAGTCCTGCTTTTTATCCAGTATCCACTTACGAGTGAGTATATACTATGTTTGTCCTTCTGAGTCTGGAATACCTCACTCAGGATGATATTTTCTAGATCCATTCTTTTGCCTGCAAATTTCATGATATCATTGTTCTCACTGTGGAGTAGTACTCCATTGTGCATATGTACCACATTTTCTTAATCCATTCTTCTGTTGAGGGGCATCTAGGTTGTTTTCAGGTTCTGGCTATTATGAATAATGCTGATATGAACATAGTTCAGCCTGTGTCCTTATGGTATGATTGAGCATTTCTTGGGTATATGCCCAAGAGTGGCATGGCTGAGTCTTGAGGAAGATTAATCCAATTTTTATTGAGTGTTATTTGCACCACAATCTGCTAAATATTGTGGTATACAAAGGAATGAAATTGTTATCTTTATCTTTCAAGTCTTTAGATTCGTAGATGGAGAAAAGTGATGTCTGGCATTAAAAAGGGTAGTGTAAAAAAAAATAAAATTTGGGCCTAAGCCAGCAGGGGACGCAGATGCTCCCCACCCCCACAGATCTCCTGGTCTGGGCAGGGCACAATCAACCAAGAACCTGTCTCACACTAGGCAGACAGGCATCATCATACCAATGCCACCTGTGGTTTGGCCCTAATATGCAAGAGAAGAAAAGCAACAGCTGTGTGCCATGCCTTGCTGCTGGGGCAGGCAGGGGTCAAACAAGTGCCATCTGTGACTCAACCAGGATTCCTGGCACCAGGCAATCTAGAATCATTATTGTGAGCAAGGTGGGGAAATAGAAGAGAGAAAGCAGCAGAGTGGTTTCATGGGCTGGGGAGAGAAGCATATAAGAAGAGGTGAGTGAGAGTGGTGAGGAACAGGCTGACATGAATGGCCTGCTAGCCTCTCAAGTTCAAAGTAATTTCAGGACCTGGGCTATTGTCAAGGGCCAGGTCTTGGTCTGACACCCTACATCAGCTATGTTGGTCTATAAGGGTCTATATATAAGCTATATAAGGGTCTATGTTGATGTCTGGAGCTTCTGTTGCCACTGAGGGCCATGCAGAGGCCTGGAATCTGGACTGCCACCTGGGGCCATGTTGGTATCCAAGAGCCATGGAAGCCATGTCAGTCTGAGTAGCTTGCACTGCCACCTGGGGTCATGGTGACATCTGGACCTGGGATGCTGCTGAGGACTATATCTAGGTCCAAGGTCCTACCACAGCCAGGGTCTGTGTTGATGTCCCTGCCCATGTTGCCACCAAAGATCACACAGATGCTCAATGTCTAGACTACAACCTGTGACCACTAGGGTGTCCAAGGGTCATGCAGCCACCAGGGCCATGCTGATCTGAGTGGCTTGTGCTGCCATCTGGGGCCATGGAGACATCTGGGCCTGAGCTACTGCTGAGGGCCTTGTCTGGGTCTGTGGTCCTGATGCAGCTGGGATCTGTAATGATGTCCATAGTTCATGGTAGCACAGAGCATCATTGGAATTATGCTATACTGAACCATCCCCACCCTTCACTGACCCTGGAATACCTTCCTGCCCCTTGCTACATACTGCAACAGGAGATCTGGACCCTCCCCTCATGGGATAACCAGCCCCCTGTACTTGGGAAAGATGGCCCCATTCCTTACCACAGGCGTGTAACTCACCTGGGCTGCACACTAGAGCTGATTATGGAGGTTATGGGGGGTGAGGGTAGGGCAGGACCCTGCCTGGGCAGTACACTAGAACTGATCCTGTTATCAGGGGTGCAGGGGAGCCAGCCCTGAGGGCATGATATCAGGAGAGCTGACCCCCCACACACACCCCAAACCCCTCCATATACATTACAGCAAAGAGGAGAGAGGACCCCACACCTTGCCTAGGCAAGACAGCAGAATAGGCCCTGGTGGTGAGTGTGGGTAAGTTGGATATAAGGACATGAGAAGAGAACTAGCCTTGCTCCTTGCTGCGGGCTGCATTAGGTGAGCTAGCCAAGGCAGTGCTGGAAAGCTTGCCCAGGTAGTGAAGATGAGAGAAAGCTGGTGGTCTGACCAACCGAGCTTCCATTCAGGCCCAGAACCAGGGCTATGAGTTAGCCCACCCCAACATCCATATCATCTATGAACTACTGAAGTATGTGAAGGGAATGAACCTACAGATCCAAACCAGCAGGATCCCCACAATTACCCAAGGCAACAACAGGATATCCAAGAGGAGCCTCAGTGAGAGCCCATTTTCGGTGGTGTAACAGAAGCCAGAGGCCTCCAGCCAGACTGATGACTCCTGGAAATTAACACTTGCAAGTAAAGATGAATGGACTAAAGGGTAA